TGCCATGAGTGAATTCTGTCTGGACGATGATTCGTGAACTGTCATTGAAAGTGGAAGATCAATTGTTCAAGAGGGGGGTAAGCGAAGGATCGAGGAGGAGGAGGAGGAGGAGGAGGGATTGGAAGTGCTGTGATCGGTACACACGGATCGAATCCCTCGTGTGGGGGAGAGCCGTTATCGATTACAATTTGGTGAAACGAAATTTATTTTCTTTGATTTGGTTATCCAAAAAGAAAAAAATTAACTTTTTTTTTTTTTTTCGACTGTCAAATCCAATCGAACGGCTCCTAGAGGGCTCGATCCGTGCATCTATCGATGGCAAATGTCATCTCACTCACAATCACAATGATGTTTCGCGAGTGCTCTTCCACGCGATGCATCGCACAATCAAACGGATTCAACAAATCACGCACGGCACCCATCGGACGGCTCTCGCTGACGGCTCGGAGAGAACTCGATCCGTGCATCTTGTGAGGGAGAGTCAGTTTGATCTAATCAAACCGATTCAATCAATCCCGCACGTCACGACGGAGAGGGGTCGATCCGTGCATCAATCGATTGCCAGCTGTCATCTCACTCACACTCATGTCTCACGAATCCTCCTTTCGATGGATGAAACTTTTTTTATTTCATTTTATTTTTTATTTATTTATTTATAAAACTACGCTATATTCTTCTCTCAAATCTTTTCATCATCTTTCAAATTCTTTCAATTTACCTTCACTACCTATCTACCACCACTACTCCTAAGGCTTAGACAGGGGACCCCTGCAAACATAGCTTTGTTGTCTCCCTCCAGCCCCCCATCAGATGGGATGCATGTTGCCCCCCCCTCCCCCCCCCCCCAACCATGGTGGTCCAGGATGGGGTGGGGCCGCCGATGGATGAAACTCTAGAAACTCTTTTAGTGTGCGAGTAAGTAAGGGTCTCGCCGCACGGCACACGAAACGAAAACGAAACGAGTGCATCTTCTGTACACTAAAGGTGGCAAAATACACTGGTTACTATTTGTAGCAAAACGATGAACCTGGCCGTTTTCTGCAGGAAGATGCACGCGTTTCGTTTTTCGTTCCGTGTCCCGTGCGGCAACGCCCTAAATCACGCTGGCCACGCATCGAACGGCTTTTGAGACCGTTCGATCCGTGGATCTCCCTGACAATGGTGTTTTACTATCCGTGCATCATACTTACAGTGGTGTTTCACGAATCCTCCTCCGTTGGATGAAAACATCATCGTGAGTGAATGGGTCTGTCTGATCAAACCGCCGCCGCTTCCCACTCACGCACGCCACGCCACGCCACGCATCGACCGGCTCGGGGCTCGTTCACTGCTCCGACTGGGCTCGATCCGTGCATCGATGGATCTCCAATTGTCATCTCACTTACACTGATGTCTCAAAGAATCCTCCCTCCGGTCGATGAAGCACCTCATCGTGCCTGGACTGCGTGCATCTAAAGGAGAATTGGGTATCTTTTTAATTGGAGATGACAATATATTCCCATGGCGTTGGAAAATTCGTCCCCCTTATGTTTCATCGAACAGAGGATTCGTGAGACATCATCAGTGTGATGAGTGAAATGACAGATGACATCCATCGATGCACACGGATCGAGTCGAGGAGTCCTTTCAGGCGTGACGTGCGGGATTACATCGGTTTGATCTGATAAATCCAATCCAATCACGCTTGACGCGCATTGGAGGGGTACTGAAGCGTCATTGTGAGTGAGATGACATAGATGACACCCATGCAGGAATCGAACGAGTCCTCTCAGATCCGTGAGCGAGCGATTCAATGCTGACGATTCTTTTTATTGGTTGACAACAACAACAATTACTGAATGACGATTGCTCCGATGATTGGTTGTCGTTTCTCGATCGGAAAGAGGAGCGTACCGCTCTTCCCCTGAACACAGCACACCCTGATCATGAATGAATGCATACAAGCTATCTTTCCGGTTCGGTACTGTTGATGAGGATGCGTTGCATTTGGTCGATGAACAGACGGTAGTGTTTATCCAAAAGGACACACCATAACAATCTGTTGTCTGCCATTTCTTCTTCTTCTTACTCCTCCTCCTCCTCCTCCTCCTGCCCTTCCCTTGTGTCCTCCTCCTCCTGTTTCCTATTCTCTACTGCTTCCGCCTCCTGCCCTCTTTCCTATCCCTTGCCTCCTTGTCATCCCTTTTCCCGTTTTGTTGCTTCCTTGTGCTCTCGGTCCTCTTCCCTTACCTTCTCTCCTCTCTCCTCTCTCCTCTCTCCTCTCTCCTCTCTCCTCTTCCTTTTCCTTCTCCTCCCATCTTCCTCCTCTCCTCCTCTCCTCCTCCTCCCTCTTCTTTCCTATTCTTTTACTTCCTCGTCTTTCCCGCCCTATTCCCTGCCCTCCTCTCCTTTTCCCTCTACTCTTCTTCTTTTCCCTGTTCGTTTCCTCTTCTTCTTCCCTTGCGGAAAACTGTCTACCTCCGGCTCTGTCTACCCTTACCCCTCCCACTCTTGTTCCTCTCCTTCTTCTTTCTCCTCTTCCCTCCTCTCTTCGTCATTCCCCCCCTTCCTATACTCTTTTCTTCGGCTCCTCTCTTCTCCACTGTCTGCCCCTGCTTCCTTCTCCTCTTCCCTTCCCTTTCTTCCCTCTCCTCCTCCTCCTCCTCCTTTTCATGTTTGCCCCCCTTCTCCTTGTCCACTCCATCTTCGTACCCTTTTCTCCTCATTTCCCTCTTCCGCTACCAAGTATTCCATTTTCTCTCCTCCTCCTCCTCCTCCTCCTCCCCTTCCTCCTCTTCCTCCCCTTCCTCCCCTTCCTCCCCTTCCTCCCCTTCCTCCCCTGCCTCCCCCCGTTCTCCTCCTGCAGCCGGGAAAGGAATGTCAAGGTCTGTCTGGTAATTACCATAATTGGCGACAGGACAGGAGCGAGGGGGCTTAGGCAACTTGCCTATCTGGACCAATGGGGATCCCTGGGGATAAGGTTGTGGAGAAGTGCAACACGTGGGAGCGGATGAGCGGTCCCGATCTGGTCTCTATTGTTCGGCATGGTCAACCCTCCTCCTCCTCCTCTCCTGCTTTCCTCGGCCTGAAGGAATGTCCCGACGTGGCGTGCGCGGTGCAACCGTCTTATCCGTTCATTAACACGTCAGCAATCTTATCCGATTCCCAAATTGCTTATAACGACTCCCACCCCAAATTCTCCCCACTGATATCTGCCAAGGGAGAACCACCTGCAGTTGCAGTTGCAGCAGCAGGAGCAGCAGCAGGAGGAGGAGGAGGAGGAGGAGGAGGAGGAGGTGGCGATGCCAGCGATCCAGCCGTTGTCCTCTCTCAATGGGACCGCAGCTTGGGCAAATTCCATCCGTTCGATGATATCCTTCGTCATCTGGAAGCCATAGCCACTGCTTGCAGTGCCATATCTCATCTTGAAGAGATCGGACGGTCAAATCGCAATCGACAGATCGTTGTCCTGGACTTGAACGCCGGACCTGCTCTTTATGGTGATGAGGGAGCTAAGTCGACGGTGCTATTGCTTGGTGGTATTCATGGAGACGATCCAATTGGGAGAGAGATTATTTTGTATATGGCCCACCACCTCTGCGCAACTTACCTTGAAGAGAGAGAGAAAATAGGTTTTGAGCCCAACTCTCCTGGTGGGGGAAGCAGCATCAACAGGAGGACAACGCTCCAAGGAGAAGGAGGAGGAGGAGGAGGAGGAGGAGGAGGAGGAGGAGAGGAAAGAGAGGGTGGAGAAAGGGAAGGGAAGGCAAGAGTAGACTCGGTACGTAGCAGCAGAAGCAGCAAAAGGAAAAGCCTTCAAGAAGTATCTGTAACAAGAGGAGGAGGAGGAGAAGAGGTGGGGGAGGAGAGGATTGACCTCCTGAGCAGCAGCAGCAGCAGCAGCAGCAGCAGCAGCAGGAGGAGGAGGAGGAGGAGGAGGTTTCAGGAAACCTCTGGCGATGGAGAACGGGCAGAAGGTGGAGGAGAAGGAAAGGCAGAGGGAAGGAGTTCGTTTGCTGGCAACCTCGACGGTTGGGAGAGGCTTGAAACTGCGTCGGGATCTGAAGCAGTAGAGGGAGAACTGCAAGAAGGAAAGAGGGAGGGAGAGACCGTTGTGCTTAGCAGCAGTAGCAGCAGCGGCTCGACGAGGTTTCGAGGGGTACTTGAAGGGGCAGGAAGAGGAAGAGAGGGGGTCAAAGGAGAGCCATGGATTGAAGGAGGGGGGGAACAATTGGTGAAGGCAATGGGCATTCTTAGCAAAACCAACAGGAAAAAACTGCAAGCACTTTCCGCATCAGGAGAAGCAAGCGAGGGAAAAGGAAAAGTGAGTGCAAACGAAGAGCAGGAGGGAAGAGGCGGAGGAGGAGGAGGAGGAGGAGGAGGAGGAGGGGGAGGAGGAGGAGGAGTGGGGGGGGGCGAAGGAAGGGAGCAAAGTTCTTCCACTCCGACCCAATCCATTCCTTCCGAATTGCAAAACAGCCCCTCCGATCTGATGACTGTCATCTTGAGATCCTCTAGGGTTTTGTTGCTGCCATGCCTGAATCCCGACGGGCTAGCTGCCGGAGGCCAACGTGGCAATGCCAACGGTGTTGATCTGGATAAGAACTTTCCTGATAGGTTCGACGGGTCAAGGTCAGTACTATCGTCGGAGCCTGGACGAAACATCGACAAACGTGGTCCCGATGGGGAAGAGTTGGTGGCAGTACCAGAGGTGGAAACTAGCGCCTTCATGCGATGGAGTCTTCAACGGTCATATGACGTGGCAGTGGAATTGACAGGAGGACCCATCGGTCTCGTAATCTACCCGTTATCTTCTTGCGAGCCGTTAGCAGCAACGAGTAGGAGGAGGAGGAAAGGGGGCGGGGGGGGGAGGGGGGGGGGAAGGAGGGGGAGGAGTACGATGGAGGAGGAAGGAGGGGAAGGATCGTTGTCTACGAGTTATGGTGGTGGTAATTGGTCAACGGCGACCGACTTGGCAAGAACCGGGGAGCTACCAGGGTCGGCGAGGCCCGACCAGAACGAGAAGAAGGGAGAAGAGGGGGAAGAGGAGAATCAGTGGGTAGGGGAGGAAGGCTTGGAGAGACAGAATTGCCCCTCCCTCGATCACGAGTTGTTTCAACGGCTAGGATCTTCTTATGTGCAGAGTCATCCTGCTCTGAGAAACGGTGGTGTGGCATGGAAAGACGTCTGCTTCTTCCCCACGGCATCGGCAACACGGGCAGAGATAGATGTAGCGTACGGCACTCTTCAGGACTGGAACCATCTGCAAGCCGGGACCCCTACTCTATTAGTCCAGGTGTGACATCGCCATCTACCTGCCAAGCGAACTTCTTTTTGTGTCTCCACATGCTAGATTGCACGAGAGAGAGAGAGAGAGAGAGAGAGAGAGAGAGAGAGAGAGAGAGAGAGAGAGAGAGAGAGAGAGAGAGAGAGAGAGAGAGAGAGAGAG